AGTAAATCAGAAATTAACTGGGTATGGTAGCACATGCCTGTAGTGTCAGTTACTTGGAAGGCTGAGGTAGAAGGATTACTTGAACCCAGCAGGTTGTTGCTGGGGTGGCCCTGAGCGTGCCACTGCACTCCAGCCTGGGCAACAGAGCGAGACTCCAACTCAAAAAAAAGGAAAGGACATTTGAGAGTAAACTGATTACTTATATAGCTTTATTCTCTCGGAAGTAATGAGGTTATCATGAACTATGGACACAGACTAAGATTGGAAATAGTAAGAGAAAGGCACTAGTAAAAGAAAGTCAACAAAAAATGACATGAACAAAGATGTTCCAAACAAACAAACAAAAAATGGCTGGGCTCCATGGCTCAGCCTGTAATCCCAGCACTTTGGGAGGCCGAGGTGAGAGGATTGCCTGAGCCTGTGGGTTCAAGGCCAGCCTGGGCAACTTGGTGAGACCTTGTCTCTACAATAAATCACAAAAACTATCTGGATGTGGTGGCATGTGTCTATAGTTCCAGCCACTTGGAAGGCTGAGGCGGAAGGATTGCCGAAGTCCAGCAGGTGGTGGCTGCAGTGTCCATGAGCATGCCGCTGCACTCCAGCCTGGGTGACAAGAGTGAGACTCCAACTCAAAAAAACAAAACAAAACCAAAGATGTTCATTGATGTATACTTTATAACAGTGAAAAACTAAAAATCTATCAATGTTCTCTGACTAATTGCAGTATAGTACATTTATAATAGTGAAAAACTAATAATCTATCAATGGTCTCTGACTGATTACAGTATAGTACATTTGTAATATAGAAAGTGTTAAGATGGCTTAAGGAAATTGAATACACCCTCAAGACATACTGTTGAGAGGAAAAGAAGGTAAGTTATGAAGTATGTTTAGTATGATCCCATGTGTGTATAAAAAAAAAGCACATCTTCTGATCTGAAATATGTATATTCATAGATAAAGTTCTGGAAGGAATAAAGTGGTTAAGTGTTATTTCTGAGAATGAAGTATTGGTAGGGTTTAGAGCAATGAGAATGCTTCATTTTTTACTCTGGGCGTCTGTGTTTTGGACAATTTATAAAAACACAGTCATGTTTCCCTTCTGTGATTATAAAATCTAAAATTATTGGAGAAGAAAAGATAAGTGACAGAGAGAAACTGGTGTCCAAGGTGGGGTTTGAGGTCAGGAGAAGGAAGATGAAGCACTTTGAATGAGTGAGTTTTGGCAGTTAACACAGGCTGCTGTGTCCTCTGATGTTTTGTGAATGGTGATTTGGGGCCTTTGCAATGTTTTCAGGATGCATTTATATATATCTAATACATATCTATATATAATGTACAAAAGATACATATATGAGTGTATCCTGAAAACATCTGTTACGTACAAAAAATGTGTGTGTGTGTGTGTGTGTGCACGTATATACACAGTTAACCCTTGAACAACATGGGGATTAGGAGCACTGACCCCCTGCACAATAGAAAATCCATGTATTACTTTTGACTCCTCCAAAAGTTAACACTACTAATAGCCTTCTGTTAACCACAAGCCTCACCAATAACATAAAGTCAGTTAACACACATTTTGTATATGTATTATATACTATATTCTTACAATAACATAAGCTAGATAAAATAAAATGTTATTAAGAGAATCATTAGATAAAATATATTTGCTATTCAGTAAGTGGAATTGGGCCATCACAAAGGTCTTCATTCTTGTCAGTTTCATGTTGAGTAGACTGAGAGGAGGAGGAAGAAGAGGAGGGGTGGTCTTGCTGTCTCAGGTTAGTAGAGGCAGAATAAAATCAGCATGTGAGTGGACCTATGTGTTGTTCAAGATCAACTGTGTGTGTGTGTATGTGTGTGTGTGTGTGTGTATTACTCCAAAAGGTATGACCTAGAATACAGGGTCTCAAAATTAAGCCAACTCAAGGACTTTTAAGAACAATTTTCATATGTATCTTCTCTTGGTCTATTTGAACGTATATTACTGTAAGCACTGGGTGAAAAAAAATATGATAGTTTAAGGAAACATGACCTTACGTCTATCCCTGCATGGATAATTCTGCCCCAGTAATAGATGCCCCAGTTTTATATCTACCATGGAAGTCTTTTCTCTAGCTCTTGGCTTTATTTCCACTCTACCAGATTTGTTCATTCAGTCTGTAAACATTTATTGAGCCCCAGATGCAACTCTAGGTATGGGGATTGCAATCTGGCAGAGAATCCACAAGGCCCCTGCTCTCAGGGAGTGAACAGTCATGTGAGGGTGGGGGCAGAAAGGAGAATGACAGTAAGGAGTTGAAACATACAAGGAAGTGAGCACTACTGTGATGAAAACTACACATTTAGGGTGATGTGATAGGAAGTGATTGGGGAACCACCTTAAGAAAGGTGTTTAGGAAAGATGTCATTGGTTTAATTTATAAACCAAGGCATGAGTGGCAGGAAAGAGCCATATGTGTGACCACTTGGGGGAGGAGCATTTCAGAAAGAGGAAACCCAGAGTAGCACTGCCCCTAGGGTAGAAAAGAGCTGATAGGGCTCAAGAGCTTGCTGTGTGGTTGGGACTGATGCGGGTCTGTACGGGACAGGATCATGACAGGTCTCGAGTCAAGGTAAGAAGTTTGGATTTTATTCCAGATTTGATGGGAAGCCTTTGGGGGATTTTGATGAGGGGAATGATATGATCTGATTTAGGTTTATAAAAGATCTCTCTGAAGACCAGTTGATTTGAAATAGGCAAGAGCAACCATGAGGAAACCCAGTGGGAAGCTATGACTGGACATCCAGGGGGAGAAGATGGTGACTCAGACTCGGGTGGCAGCTATCACTATAAACTTCTGATGAGCTGAAGGTGGCAAGCCAGGAACAGACAGGAGCAGAAATGACTCCTAAGTTAGACTTGAGTAACTGGGAGATGTATTTCCTGAGATGAGGAAAAGCAGGGGAGTAGCAGGTTTGTGGTCAATAAGTGTCTATTTTGGATGTATCAGGCTGCAATGCCTGCTGGGGAAATATCAGATAGATATGCTTGCCAGGTGACCAGGAATAGAGAGATGCATGTGGGAGTTGTCTACATACATAGCGATGGTATTTACAACCAGACCTGTAATTGGCTGCACAGTTCCAAGTTCAAGGTTTGCACATGCTACACCACCCTTCACTAAGGCTAAAGTTGCCTAAACACAGGGCTTCTATATCTTGGCTTTCTCCTTATAGTTTTTACTTTTGCTTTTGAAGGTTGTTTTTAGTTTCACAGTGCAAAGGGCAGTGGGAGAAGAATAAAAAGAAACATCCTGAACCTATAATCATAGGGACTAGTGCTTCTCATTTGCGTAGCTTTTAACATTTTAATCATCAATTCTAATGCTGAAATCTGAGTTTAAAAGTGATTGAATGGATAGTTTTTTTGTTTTTTGTTTTGAATTGGAGTCTCACTCTGTCGCTCAGGTTGGAGTGCAGTGGCACGCTCACAGTTCCCGCAGCCTTGACCTGCTGGGCTCAGGGGATCTTCCCACCTCAGCCTTCCAAGTAGCTGGAACTATAGGTACACGCTACCATTCTCAGGTAATTTTTTGATTTATTGTAGAGATGAAGTCTCACCAAGTTTCCCAGGCTAGTCTCGAATCCGTGGGCTAAGGCAATCCTCTCATCTTCACCTCCCAAAGTGCTAGGATTAGAGGCGTGAGCCATTGTGCCTGACTGAGTGGATAGTTTTAAAGATGGATTCTTGGCCGGGCACAGTGGCTCACGCCTGTAATCCCAACACTTGGGGAGGCCAAGATGAGAGGATTGCTTGAACCCAGGAGTTTGAGACCAGACTGGGCAACATAATGAGACCTTATCTATACAAAAAAATAAAAAAATTAGCCAGGTGCATGCCTGTAGTCCTAGCTACCTGGGAGACTGAGGCAGCAGAATTTCTTTTTCTTTTCTTTCTTTTTTTTTTTTTTCAGTTGGAGTCTTACTCTGTTGCCTTTTCTTTTCTTTCTTTTTTCTTTTTTCAGTTGGAGTCTTACTGGCATGTTCCCAGTCACCACAGCCTCAACCTGCTGGGCTCAGGTGATCCTTCCGCCTCAGTCTTCCAAGTAGCAGGAACTACAGGCTTGCGCTACCACACCCAGCTGATTTTTTGATTTATTGTAGAGACAAGGTCTCACCATGTTGTCCAGGCTGGTCTCAAACCCGCGGGCTCAGGCAATCTTCTTGCCTCGGCCACCCAAAGTACTCGGATTATAGGCTTGAGTCACTGTGCCCAGCCTACAGGAAGGTTTCTTGAGCCCAAGAGGTCAAGGCTGTGGTGATTGTGTTACTGCACTCTAACCTGGGCAACAGAGACCCGACTCAGGAAAAAAAAGAGATTCTAGGTTCACAGTATGTTCCTTAAATATTATAAACTAACAATGCATTTATAATGATATTATGATATAAATATTAGGAGTAATATAAGTTACACAAGATTTTAGTGGTTTGATCTTCCCCATTTTATATACCACTTTTCCTACTTTGTTGAAACATAAGAGCATGCTAATTGAAAATATAAAAATATGTCTTTACTTCCCATTTTGGATTTGACCTTTGATTTTATTGGAATAACATTGATGCGTGGATGTTTTACATTTGTATGTGATTGATCAGTTGATCTTTTGTGGCTTTTTCAATTATTTTCATGCTTTGGGAAATGCCTCCTTTTCCAAGTCAAGTCTGCTAGGTTTTCTGCTAGTTTTTTGGCTGACTTAGTTATTTATTTATTTGGATTTGTAAATCCAAGTGGAATTTGCTGTGTAGGTTAGAGCCAAGTACAAATTTAAAAAAAAAATCTTTTTTTGTTATTTACCTCTTCAAAAAATTTGTATTCAAATTATGACTAAACTCTTAATTTATTTTGAATGATTCTTGCTTATTGCAGGGGAGCCCTCCAGATGCCCAGCTGGCCATGTGGTAAATTCAAGGCCCCCATAGAGTAGTATAACAGCCACCAGAGAACTCCTGTCTGTTTTGAACAAATTCACATCAGCCTCCAGCCGGAAGAGATGGTGTCACAGTCTACAGTCCGGCAGGATTTGCCTGTTGTCCCCTGGAAAGGGATCAGCGACCACTCTGGCAACAATGATGGTTCACCCACCCTCCTGGACACTGATCACCCCCCTTGCCAATTCAGTGTCAGGCTCTCGAGGCACAAAGCTGCCTGGATTAACCCACAGGGTACACAGCAACAGCTGCAGGAATCACCCCCCTGGGTGTCAAAAGAGGGGAGCAGTGGAAACCGCTCTGTGGCGGATGGTGCCTCTCTCTTGGGCCCTTCACTTTTGTCCCCTGGGTGCTCCCTGATAGAGACACCATTGACTAAGGATACCGTAGGCTCCATCGGCAGTGCCTCTGCCCGTGGCTCAGGTGGAAAGAGCAGCAGTTTCTCCTGGACCTCACCAGAAGCACGAGTGGTGCTCCCAGGACACTGTCATCAGGTGTCTCTACTCAATGACTCTAAGACTTTCGCCACTTCATGTCCTGAGGTTGACAGTGCTTTTGTCCCAGCTTCCTACCTGACAGCTTCTGCTCATAAAGGTAACTTTAGTCAGTGACTTCCCTCATTCCTATCTGTTCACACACTTGCTGTGTCTTGTTCTAAAACCTGCCTTAGTGTCTTCCCCATGAGAGAAAATTGCATGGGTTTCCACTTTGAAAGAAGCCAGTGCATTGGCTCATTTAATATTGTCAATCAGCCCAGTGACCTGAGTAGTCACAAAGGTGAAATCAAACATTTGCTTTCTCTTTAGACTGTAGGGAAATGTCATGTTTTAGGGTGAAGGGGAACTTATTTTCCCACTCACCCTAAAATATAGGGCTTATTTCTGAATCTATTGGCAACATTTGCGAAATCAAAGATGATGCCAATTTTTAACTTTTTTTAAATTCATAGCTTAAGAATAGCAGATTTTGGACAATCTTTTAATGACTGATTTTTAAATAAGAATCAAATTTGAGCAAACGGACAAATCTGATTACAAACCTTTTTTTCTGTTTTTTTTTTTGCTCATCTGTTTGGAAAGCTCTCAGGATAGAGAATGGCTTGCAAATTTATGGTGACTCAGTAAGAGACTAATCTCCTATGAGGTCGTCTCCTAGAGGAAAGCCCTCTTCCCCACAGACCACCACCACAGTGGCAAGTTATAAACTGAAGATGCTCTTTGGGACCTACAATACCCCTGCCTGAAATATTTTGTTTTATCACTGCACATGAAGTAGTTCTATAATTTGAAACTGTCCTGTAGCTTTCCTTTTTTCCCCAGGAGGAAAACAGGTACCCCAGCCCCTTTTGTTTAAAAACAAGGATTTCCAACAGTTCTTATCAGTGCCTTAAAAACCACTCAGAGAATGTCTGAGAATATCTCTTAAACTTGGTAAAGGGATTTATTCCTTGGGATCAAGAAAAAGAAGTCCTGAGTGATCTGGTTCTTTCTTTTTTAGGTGGGGTGCAGCACTGAGAACAGGCATTGGCTACGAAGACATGGGTTTTCCTATGACTGTGGCATCTCAAATGGCAACAAAACAGTTTTCCTTTTCTAGAAAATATGCAAGGAAAGATATCTCATTCTGTACACATTTTTTAAGACTATAGGAAACAATTCCATAGTTCTTTACAAAGTACATTTACAAAGTACATTCACATTCCTTATCTCCTTAATGTCCGAATAGATAATTTGCCCAACGGACTGAGAAAATACTGATGCAGAGGATGAGTGGAGAGCCAGAACTGGAATCCACTCTGATTGTTCTCTGTGCTCATTTCTTTGACCTGAGGGCCAGATTCTGCCCGCTTCCTGTTTTCATAAATAAAGTTCTATTTTGTCTATAGCTGCTTTCTTGCTACAATGGCAGAATGGAGTAATTGCAACAGATACTATATGGCCCTCAAATCCTCTAATACTTATTACCTAGTTCTTTACAGAAAAAAAAATTGCCAAACCAGATGGTTTCTGAAGCTAAGAGATACAAAATTTTCCACACAACCACTGCTTTCATGAACATCAAGTAAAGGACTTGAGTGACCCTGCTTGCATATGATGCTGTCACCCTGAGAGCTGTGTAACCACCAGGACATTTGCAACATTTTGTTCTAATTTAGTAGTTTGGGACAACTGAGTGCTTATGGCACTCACAGACATTTTTGCTTTAAATGCTGCAATAAGCAATCACATGGTAGAAATCACGTTTGTTTTGATGGTGGTCATTGCCAGGAATAGAGTGGCTCAGGGTGCAGGAATGGATGAGTCAGCAGAATATTCCTTCTGCAGTTCTTCTTGGTTTTGGCTGCAGGAGGACTATTTTAGAGAAGCAATGTGGACTTTTTTCAGATGTCTTTTGTATCCGTAGACAGGAAGTTTTGGGCCATCTGCAATGAGTTGGAGACTTGATCTCATAATTCTTATGACCCTGCTTCTGGACTGTTCCTTCTCACTCTTGCCTATCTCCTGTGGGTATTTCCCATGACTTCTTCTCTTTCTACCCTCTTTGGCTTACTGTTTCCTACTCCAGTTGTTCTCCCATTCCTTCTCTGAGGCTATTTCCCAGTCACTACAACAGCCTCTCCTAGAAATGGTCATCTTAAGGCAATATCTGCAAGTCCTACTATCAGATAGATAATCTAGTACAATTATTCTACAACTGTGCTAGATTTGGGGTTTTTTGTTTTATTTTGTTTTGTCTTTTGCAGCATTTAAAAGCTGATCCCTAGAATCGTTTTGTTTTCTTTAAATTTCCTTTTCTTCATTTTTAATAATTTGCTATATTGGCAGGTACTGTTCAAGTCAGTAGAAGAACCATTTCTTTGAATTCCTTCTCACCAGAGACATGTGTGCTGCCTGTCGATGTAGAAAAGGTGAATGTTGTTTTTGTTCCTCCTTTCCTTTCCTTTCCTTTCCTTTCCTTTCCTTTCCTCTCCTCTCCTCCCCTTCCCTTCCCTTCCCTTCCCTTCCCACTTTCCCTTCCCCTTCCCCTTCCCCTCCCTCCCCTTCCCTGCCCTCCCCTCCCTCCCTCCTTCCTTCCTTCTTTCTTTCTTCCTCCTCTTACTCCTCCTCCTCTTCCTCTTTCTCCTCTTCCTCCTCCTTCTCCTTCTTCTTTTTAACCAGAGTCTTAATCCTCTAGATAATGCTCTTCTGCTTTAAATTTGGAAACTTCACCCTGATGAGGCATGGCAAATAGATTTCATTTCAGCATTTGATTGATAGAGGCTGCCAGGAGCACTGAGCTGAGAAGGATTCCCAGGCAGTCTCTGTGCTCCACCGAAAAGCTTTCCATGATTGATGAATGATGTCTGCCATTGGGCCACTACCAACAGACAACTCGAGTTGTCTGTTGGTCATAGTGAGCTAAATCTCTATCTCTGGACAGTATGGTTTATAAGTCATACAGTAACCTATAATAACTCCGTTAAATAAACATTTATATTTATATGCATTAACTCCACTTAAATAGAGCGCCTTGATTTTTCAAATCTAATACACCCTCCATGAAAAAAAGTTGATTATGCCTCTGAGTATTTTAATTGATTTTTTTTTTCCTGCAGGAAAATGCTCACTTTTACGTTGCAGATATGATAATATCAGCGATGGAGAAAATGAAGTATAACATCCTGAGTCAACAGCAGACAGAGAGCTGGAGTAAAGATAAAGCCAGTGAGTCACTTGGGAATGGTCAAGCTGACTCTGAAGTGACCTTGGATACCAACATAAAGCAAGAATCTGGGTTTTCCAGTTCTTCAGACAGTGGCTATGAAGGCAAGTTGGGCATGTTGTATATTTTACATACACTTCCTCTCTTCTTTCAAATCCTGAAGCACACCAGTCCCCCTTTATCCACATGGCATATGTTCCAAGATCCCCAGTGGATGCCTGAAACCTCCGATGGTACCAAACCTACATATACTATGTTTTATCATTCTGATAACCCAGAGGGCTACTAACTGACTGATGGGCAAGCAGTATATGCAGTGTGGATATGCTGCACAAGGAATGATTTGTATCCCAGCTGGGATGAGCAGTTTAGTATGGGATTTCATCATGCTACTCAGAATGGTGCACTGTTTCGCTGGCTCAGCCTGTAATCCTGGCACTTTGGGCGAGTGAGGCGAGTGGATTGCCTGAGCCTGTGGGTTCAAGACCAGCCCAGGCAACTTGGCGAAAACTCGCCTCTACAGACAAAACTCCAAGTAGTTCCAGCTACTTGGAAGGCTGAGATGGAAGGATCGCCAGAGCCCAGCAGGTCGATGCTGGGGTGGCCATGAGCATGCCACTGCACTGCGACAGAGTGAGACTCCAACTCAACAAAACAAAACAAAACAAAAAAACCCCAAAACTTACCAATTGTTTATTTCTGTAATTTTCTATTTAATATTTTTGGACCACAAACTACAGGTAAATAAAACCATGGAAAGTAAAGCCATAGATAAAGGGAATATTGTATGTCTTTAAATCCTTTGCCTAAAACTTCTTGATTAAATTACATACTTCTCACCATTTCAGTCCTCTTAGGTTAGATTTGGTTGTCATGCTCCATCTGGTTGTCACATCCTTTGTTTTGTTTTGTTTTCCTTGGACTTTATCCTACTTTCCTTTTTTGCTAAAAAACTTGATGTCTCCCCTCTTCCTTTGTTTTCAGTCATACAACATTCTCCTAGCTCTTTTCACACATTTTTTCCTCAAGTGGTCCTCTTTTATTCATTTCACAAACAATGAGCTTATGATGTGCTAGGTGTTGGGAATCAACAGGGCACAGGGTGGTGCTCCTGCCCTCAGGGAGCTTATGTGCTGGAGCAGAAACCCAGGAAGCCTTGTAGGGTAACTCGTAGAACAGGAACAAGGACCCAGTGCAGTGGATTACTGAGTAAGAGCATCTCACCTCATTCTGGGACCCAGGGTCTTCTTCTCAGAAGGAAGGGTGCCTAAGCAGACAACTGTTGTTAATTTCTTGGTTGCCTTAAGTACTTCATTTTATCGCTGATATGATCAGTCTGGAGCATAACGGTGGACATAGTGAACTTCTAACTTAACATGTCTAAACTAATCATCTCTCTATTATTCTTTCATACTCCCTCATAGTTTTCTTCCTTTTCAAAAATCCCACCAAACTTGCTTTTTCTTTTAACTTCTTTACCTTGCATTTTAATCAGGAGTGTTTAAGAACAAGGGAAGAACTCATTCCATATGGTGCATATGTTGTCCAATGTCTGGTGTAAAATCGATAGGTGATAAAATACTTATTGAATGGACCAACTGGCTCAAATTTAAGGGGTGTGTGTGTGTGTGTGTGTGTGTGTGTGTGTGTTTAAGGATATAGAACATTCTCACTGAACCCAGTGGTAGGAAATACATCTGGGTAACATTAATCACCAGTACAGACTTAGCTCTGGTGTCTTTCTTTTCTGGGATTTGGACCTCTCAGCTCTTCCTCTTGTGCCATTGCTTCATTCCTTTTCTGTAGCCTAACTACTTTTACCTACCCCTAGCCTCTGGTTTCAGTTCTGCAGTCTCCCTGACCACTAAGCCAGGTCTTCTCAGCTCAACAACTCATCTTGCAGGACCCCTGATCCGGATTTCCAGGGAAGAGCACCTGATTTGGCCCTGCTCTCGTTGGGTGTCCATAACTGGTCAATCACCTGTGACCAGAGGAGTGAGGGAATGTCATGTGGATGATCATTCCTTCTGAGGCTACCAGTAAGAAGAAAAGGAATGTGGGTAGAAAAGAAGTGATTTGTATTTTACTATACAGCTTTATCTTTTACTCTGTCTTCTTTGTTCCTGTGCCCTTGGTTCCTGTTTCTAGTTAGTGAACAACTCAGTCCTGACTTCTCAGTCATAATAACCCCTCTTCCATCCATTCTGCATTTCCTTTTACCTGACCCACTGCAGTGGTCTTCTGGCCAATCATTTTGTAAGAACTGCATTTAGTTCCTCAATATCGATTTGCTGCCTTCAATTTTCTCTTTTTGCTTTCAGCCTCCTTCCCCTAAGAAAGGGATTACACATATCTGTCTTCCTAGAACTTCTTGTGTTCTATAATAGCCTGCCAAGCTTGTTCCACATTTTATTCTAGAATTTCTAGCATTGTGGGATTCAGCTTCTCCCTGCCTTTCCAACGGGCATCTCCTGCCATTATCCTTGACTGGACCATGGGCTTCAGTTGACCTAGACTGTGTGTAGTTCCTGGCAGACATTTCTCACAAGCTCCTACCTCCACCCCTCTGCTTTGGGACGGTTCTCCTGGCATGTGGGTTCCCTCCAGTGATTGCACGTTAGGTCCTTCATTCTGCCCATCCTTTGAAAGCAGTCTGCTGCTGTTGGCACTGTGGCACACTCCCTGATTTGTATTCCAGAACAGGAGCACCATCCATGTGGAATGAAACATAAGTTGTGCTCCAGAATGCTCCATGGTTGTCCATGTGTGTGGCTCTCCCTGGAGCTATATGGTGCAGAGTCCTGCCTTAGAACTTCTTAAGGCCCATGGCATGCAACTGTGTTTTCTTGTGGTTCATTGTATTGTTATCTCAGCTCCCTCATGAGACTTTTAAGCCCTTGGGTGGATGAGAAATTGTCTGTGTGTGCATTTAGCAAAGTTCTTTGTCTGGAACAGGTATTTTACAAACATTTATTAAATGGTTGGGTGGAAACTGATGTTTACCTGAATGTTTAAGAAACATGAATATGTTGAATGAAATTTAAGATTATTTCTACCTGCCAAGTAAAAATATTTATCTTTTATTAAGTATCTCCCTTGTGACATTTGTGGTGATAGACACTCATCCATGGGGTAGTCTGGTGTTCTTCAAACTGCAGCTTGGTCCTGAGAGCATTAAAAGAAATAAAAGAAGAAATAGGATGGAAAGTATCAGAGTACACCTTCCTTAGAGTGAGAAATGTTTTCTAAAAGTTTTTTTTAATCAGTTAAATATATTTTGGGCCAGGCACAGTAGCTCACACCTGTAATCCAGCACTTTGAGGGCCAAGGCAGGAAGATTACTTGAGCCCAAGAGTTTGAGACCAACCTAGGCAACATAGCAAGACCTCGTCTCCTCCAAAAATAAAAAAATTAGCCAAATATGGTGGCCCATGCCTATAGTCCCAGGCTGAGGCAGAAGGATTACTTGAGCCAAAGAGGTTGAGTCTACAGTAAGCCATGATTGTGCCACTGTACTCCAGCCTGGATGACAGAGTGAGACCTCAATTCAAAAACAAAGCAAAACAAAGTATTTTTGTATTTGCACTAAGACATAATGTAAATTTTATGTTACTGTGGATCATGGTCAAAGGAGAGTGAGTAACACAAACATACGTAATATTACCCCCACTTTTACCCATGAGAAAGCTGAAGATGTGAGTTGTGATTGTCCATGGTTACCTCCCTAGATTGGGGCAAGGTTGCTTTAAAGTCAGGCCAATCTACTACGAAGTCATTCAAATAGCTTCCATGTCATCTGTGAGCTAGACTATTTCCCCAAACAACTGTATTCATTTTTCTATGTTTCTTTCCTATGTTTATTCAAGTGAATACAGTTTTACAAAATTATATTCATAATTGCATTAATAATAATATTAAATTTCGTGATTAATGGTGTTTCATTTCATGTTGCTACAGTTTTGATGAATCAATGAATTAATTAATATTTTATTAGAGACAAGGTGTTGCTATGTTTCCCAGGAGTTTCAAACTCCTCATCTCAAGTTATTCTTCTGTCTCAGCCTCCTGAGTAGCTGGAATTACAGGTGCACACCACTGTACCTAGCAGTTTTCACATTTTGTAAAGATAGTATTGAATAGCGTGATTTGAAAAATCTTATCTCCTATTATTCAGCATTTAGGTAGCTTTACCTTATTTTAATGTCTTAAGTGGACTGCAGATAGCTTCTTTGTGATCAAAGGCTTCCTCTTTCAATTCCTTATTTCTTTTTTAATGATATGCTTGGGATAATCCCCCAGAATGGAGTTAGGCATTGAAAGCCTAATTGTATATGTTTTCTAGGGCTGCTATAATAAAATCCCAACAATGGGGTGGCTTAAAACAACAGATATTTATCTTTTCACAGTGGTGGAGGCCAGAAGTTAGAAATGAGGTTGTCAGAAGGGTTGGTTTCGTCCGGAGGTTCTGAGGAAGAATCAGCTCCCTGTCTCTTCCCTGCCTTCTAGTGGTTGTGGGCAGTCATTAGCGTTTCTTGACTGGTAGACATCACTCTAAATCTGTCTTCATGTGGCATTCTCTTTGTGTGTTTGTGCATGTGTCTATATTTTCCTCTTATGACACCAGTATTACTGTATTTAGGGCTCACCTTAATCCAGTATGACCTTATCTTAACTTGATATGTATCTGCAAAGACTTCATTTCCTAAGAAGGTCACAATCACAGGTTCTGAGCGGACATGAATTTGTGTGAATGAGGGAGACACACAATTCAACCCAGTACAATGTTGATGTCTCCTCTATTTTTTGCCTCATTGTGAAGCTGAGGTGGTTTTTCCCCTTTCATCTTTCTAAACTTCATATTATGGAAATTTTCAAGCATACCTAAAGTAGACTGATATTATTATAAACCCCCATATACTCATCAATCTGTTCACTTAATCATAGTGAATGCAAGAAGAACACAAAAATAATTCTCTACTTTTTTTTTTTGATTTGGAGTCTCACTCCGTTACCTAGGCTGGAGTACAGTGGCATGCTCACGGCCACCCCAGCATCAACCTGCTGTGCTCAGGCGATCCTTCCCCCTCAGCCTTCCAAGTAGCTTGGACCCACAGCTGTGTGCTATTACACCTGGCTGATTTTTTATTTATTATAGAGATGAGGTCTTCCCAATTTGCCCAGGTTGTTCTCGAACCTGTGGCCTCTGGTGATCCTCCTACCTCAGCCTCCCAAAGTGCTGGGATTACAGGCTTGAGCCACCACGCCTGGCCTTCTTCTGATTTTTTTTAGTTCTTTTGTTTTGAATCAGGAGACCCACTCTGTTGCCCAGTGGCATGATCACAGGTCACTGTAGCCTCAACCTCCTGGGCTCAGGTAGTCCTATAGCTAGAACTATAGTAAGTGCCACCATGCCTGGCTAATTTTTTTTTATTTTTTGTCCAGTCAGAGTCTCACTGTGTTGCCCAGGCTGGTCTTAAACTCCTGGGCTCAAACAGTTCTCCTGTTGTGGCCTCCCAAAGTGCCAGGATTATAGGTGTGAGCCACTGCTCCTGGCCCTTTTTAAATTCATGAAACTGAAATGTTTAATTATCTTACAGCTAATATTTAGCCCTTTTCATTCTCCAATTTCTGCTTAGTTGAGTGTTGCAGATTGTATAGTTTTTCTATATTGTTGGTGAAAACCTCCTTCCCTTCTGTTTTTAGGTTGTGCTGTGCTACCTGTCAGCCCAATGACTGACACACCTGCTGACCATCATGTGGTGAGAGATGCCTGCAAATGTGACCTCGATGAGTTTATTTTAGGTAAGATTTGGAAACGATTTAGATGTGACTGGCTGTCTCCCCTATCTCCCCTGTACACACACACTAACATACATCACACACAATCCCAAATTACAGCAGCATTCAAGGAAATTCTCCCAAGATCAGATTATGTTCCTGATGCTTTTTAAAAAATGTTCTTCTTGTTTCAAATGTCTATTTTTTGTCTTTTAAAGACAGTGTGGGTCTTACTCTGTCACCCAGGCTGGAGTGCAGTGGTGTGAACATAGCTCACTGCAGTCCAGAACTTCTGGATTCACGTAGTCTTCTAACCTAAGCCTCCCAAGTAGCTGGGACTATAGGCGTGTGCCATCATGCCTGGAAAATTTTGTTGTTTTTTTGTAGAGACAGGATCTTGATATTTTGCCCAGGCTGGTCTCAAACTCCTGGCTTCAAGTCATCCTCCCTGCCTCAGCGTCTCCAAATGTCTTGATAGCTAATCTTTCATCTCACTTATAGAATTGAATGAAAAAGCAGATATTCATTATGATCTAATATCTACTTGGCTTCTTAATTATACTTTGGTGAAATTTCAGATGAATTCTAATTTTTTTGGTCATTATTGATATTCTCATAATAGAAGCTCAACCTGAAGCATGAAGATGCTTGGTTATTTCTGAGATGTGGAGAACTGGGTTTGTGTTCTTCTTATAAAATTGACTATGATTAAACAAAACAGACTGAAAGACCTTACTGCTCTTTCTTTTATTTTCCTGCAGAACTTGGAGAGTGTAATGACATCACAGAAACCTGTTCACGTTCCTGTAGTTCCTCTAAAAGGTATCTGTCTTCTGCATACACCTGCGCAGAGACCCCTGGGCTGTGGCCTCTAAGGCGTTGTGAACACTAGTCCTCTGACATTTTGGGACCACAATCATCTGGTTCCAACAATATGTTCCCATGAATCTACGGGATGACCACCTAGAAATGATACATTTATCCCCAAGGTGTCTACAGTGTTTTATAGCATATAAGTAACTTTTATATACATTGTCATGGATAGGCTGGGAAAGTTTTATGTATATATACATGTCCTATCTTTTAACTCCTATCTTATGGACATAGAAACAGACTCTTATAAGATGTGCTTCAGGACACAATGCTGTTAAACAGAAGTGAGGCTTGCACACAGGTCTTCTGATTCTAAATCAGTGCTCTTTGCACCATACCTCCAACTCTTAGTTCCCTCCATTAACAGAAGATGCACTATTTTTTGAGCATGGAGGAACTGTGTGGCATAAGATATCTAGTGAGTGATTAATGCACAGTGTCAAACGAGGGCTTCCTTGGGTAAGAAGAACAGTTGAAAATCCTGAATGTATTCCTCTTGTGTGTAGATTTCCAGTTTTTGCATCTCTTATATTTCAGTGTCACTTATGAGCCAAACTTCAATTCTGCCGAGCTACTAGCCAAAGAGTTGTATCGAGTATTCCGAAAGTGCTGGATTCTGTCAGTAGTTGATTATCAGCTGGCAGGTTCCCTGAATGCAGCTGGCTCAGTAGTAAGTATCAGAATAAATTGACCTTGGATGGAAATTTCCTAAATTTTGTTTGCCCTGTCACTTCAAACATTCATGTTTCCTTGTATGGCTTCAAGGTGTTAAAGAAGACTCAAAATGAGAAAACTGTTACGTGTTGAGTACTTATTATGTACCAGGCACTGTCCACATTTTATTTCACATTAGGTAGATGCTATTGTTATCTTTTTTTGAGTTGGGCTCTCACTCTTTGCCTAGGCTGGAGTGCAGTGGCACCATCACAGCTCACTGCAGCCTCAACCTATGGGGCTCAAGTGATCCTCTCAGCCACTCTGGTAGCTAGGACTGTAGGCATACACCATCATGCTGGGATAATTTTATTTTTATTTTCTGTAGAGACGAGATCTCACTATGTTGTCCAGGCTGGTCTCAAACTCCTGGATTGCTCAAGCAATCCTCTCACCTCGACTTCTCAAAGTGTTGGGATTGCAGGCTTGAGCCATCATGCCCAGACTGCTATTGTTGTTTTGAAAGTGTTGGGCCGTCTATGGCCATACCAGCCTGCAGACAGCTGCTCTGGCCTGATCTCAGAAACTAGACAGGGCCTGACCTGGTTGGTACTTGGATGGGAAAGTGGGCTGGGTCAGTGGTAAAGCAGGAGTCATGCCCAGGTTGCCTAATTTGAAAGTGCAGGCTGCTTCCCTTATGGAACACACTTCCTCTGAGAGTGTCCAGCCCACCCGGGGGTAGAGAAGGCTACCCCCTTGTGACAAAGGTTGAAATAGTGGTAGGGAAAAAACACTCTAAGTGCAGGGGAGGGAGTGTTTAATGTTATCAGGGGAACTAGAGGTTGACCCAAAAGAAAGAGGCCTAGGTACAAAATATAATTGAAAGAGTTTACTTAAGTCAAAGTGAGGACAACTGCCTAGAAGACTGAGACCCCAGTCACCTGGGTTATGAGTTCTGTTTGGCCTTTATTACAGGCAAACAAGCGGGGGCATGGAGTGCACTGATACAGCATTGTCTGTCAGAAATTCTCATCGGTTTACGGAAATACCATTGATTAATGACTAACTATACATTGTTAAGCTGTAGGGTTTGGGTTATAGTGGCCAGTGTGTCATTATTAGGCAAATTTATTGCTACTTATGTCAATAGTGAGCAATTTCAAAAGATGGATACTGAGCTCAAAGCGGGGAAGTAGGATGTGATGGTTGTCTCATTTAATACCTCTCTGGGCCAGATCATTAAAAACATTTCTTAGATAAAAGTTATTTTCTTTTCTCATTGGGAAGGCTGATTGGACATCACAGAACTGGAACTAAATATTAGGCTGACCAGAACCACGGCAGGTTGAAATGTGGGAGAGAGCATCCTTGGCAAAAGTGGAGAGGCATGGTGTGCTGTTGTATAGAGTGACTTGGTGCGGTTGAATGAATAACTCCTGTTTGTGTGTATTTGTGTGCGGGAGATTGATCTTTATGGAAATAAACCTTGAATGATAGTGATGAAATTGTGGAGCCTATAGAACACCAATTTGAGAAGTTTGGAGTTCAAGTGACAATACAAAAATGTAGTGGTTCAATGGGGAGCCACTGAGCACTTACTAGCAGCGCACGTGGTCTTAATGGAACTGTTTTGGGGGAAAACTAAAGGCCCAGGCGCTCTGATTGGAAGCATCTGTTCGTCTGTTGCCCAAGAGGGGTGAGGCTTCTGCTATTTATAAATGTATGCCAGGTCAAAATGACCTACTTACCACAAAGTTGAAGTCTGGGGGGGAGAAAAAGGAACTAAAAAGACTAATATAAGTGATCTCAGCTGGGTGGTGTTTAAAGCAATTTTTCTGCAGATGACTTTAGAGACATGGAGAGCTCTTGTCATGTCCTTTAGTTCACTTGAAAGGAATTTTAATTCCTCATGGTAAATATTAATGTTGGAAACACACCTGAATGTTTTCATTTAAATTCTTGAAATATGCTTGTTTATATTTTTCCTAAGTCTTCTTATGCATTACACAGGTTGTAAATGAAGAGCGTGTCCGAAAAGACTTTGAATCCAGTATGCACGTAGTACAGGAAATTAAATTTAAGTCTAGGATCAGAGGGACTGAAGACTGGGCCCCTCCTAGATTTCAAATAATATTTAATATCCATCCACCACTCAAGTAAGTATGGGCGGCTGCTTGAGCCTCCAATCCACTTAAACCAGGTTGTAACAGACCCCACCTAACTCTTTTTGGAAATAGGTGAAGGGAAAAAATAGTATGTCGAGGGACACAGGAGAATTTGTTTTAGGAAAGCAAATGTGGGTATATAGAACGGCTTAGTTTTCTTGGCACCTTGTTTGTCATAAACTTTTGGGGGCTCTGTAAGTTTTAATAAGATGAGAATGTAGCTATGCAATCCTAATTAAGAATATTACCTAACAACTGAAAAATTTTTTTTTTGAGTCAGGGTCTCACTCTGTTCAATGGTTCACCATAGCCTTGACCTCTTGAACTCAGGCGGTCCTTCTGTTTCAGCCTTCTGAGTAGCTAGTAGCTGGGACTACAGGCACATACCACCGTGCCCAGCTAATTTTAAAAATTTTTTATAGAGACAAGGTCTCACTATCTTGCCCAGGCTGGCCTCAAACTCCTGGGCTCAAGCAATCCTCTTGTCTCAGTCTCCCAAAATGCTGGGATTACAGGCATGAACCACTGCGCCTGGCCACAACTGAAAATTAAACAGGCTTAAAGAGGATTTTTAAAGTGGCTAATAGCGAAACTCAAAAATCATATACAATTTTATTATTTTTAAATTAATTAATTAATTAATTTTTTTGAGTAGGAGTCTCACTCTGTCACCCAGAGTGGATGGAGTGCAGTGGCATGCTCACGGCTGTCGCAGCCTTGACCTGCTGGGCTCTGGTGATTCTTCCACCTCAGCCTTCCAAGTAGCTGGAACTACAGGAATGCGCCACCATGCCCAGCTAATTTTTTGATTTATTGTAGAAATTAGATCTCACCAAGTTGCCCAGGCTGGTCTCGAACCCGTAGGCTCAGGCAATCATCTCACCTTGGCCTTTCAAAGAGCTGGGATTATAGCCATAAGCCACCACGCCTGGCCATATACAATAATTTAAAAAGATTGGACCACTCTGTTTTCTAGTCACACAGCCACAGACAGTGTGAAATAGAAATGAATGAACTCATTTTTTTAATGGAAAATTTAATCTTGAGGTGTGCTCCTAATTTAGAAATTTAACAGAGAATAAATAAAAATGCTTGTTCTGTAAGAAGTAACAAAATCTAAAAGGCAAAGCTAAAATGATGCAAAAAAAAAAAAGGAAATAAGCCCCTACATATATTTCAAGTAATAGTTGAGTTGTAATTTATTCTGAGAGTATATGACAGATTATGGAGAAAAAATTTTAACCAAGCACAATTTTTCCATTCCTCTTGATATGTATGTATGTATGTGTGTGTATATTTATTTTTTGAGTTGGAGTCTCACTTTGTCACTCAGGATGGAGTACAGTGACACCACATGGTCACTGCAGCCTCAACCTCCTGGGTTCAGATGATCCTTCCACCTCAGCCTTCCAAGTAGTTGGGACTACAGGCATACGCCACCAATCAATTTTTTGACTGATTGTAGGGATGAGGTCTTGTCATGTTGCCCAGGCTGGTCTCGAACTCCTGGGCTCAAGCAATCCTCATGCCTCCACCTCCCAAAGTGTTGGGATCATAGGCATGAGCCAACTATGGCCAGCCCTTGGCTTGTCTTTAACTCAACATGCAAACTGCAGAGAGGAATTGTGGAAGGTTGTTTACTATACTTCCTTAGAGACTGTATCTTTCTTTTGTGCTTTTCTCTTGAGGTAATGCCAAGAAAGTCTTGGGGCTGCTTTAGCAGAAGAGTTCCCCCTCTCAGCATTGTGAGGGTCACTTTCCTCAGCATGGGGTATCATCTTTTCTCTAGGGTTTCCCCAGGTCCTCTCTAAGGCATGTGGGTAGAGATTAAGCATATTTTTACCTTGGCCATTTTTGCTGACTCTGAATGCTAATAAAATTAAGCCCCCCCCCTTTTTTTTTTGCATATTTCCAAATCACATGTAAAACTATGGCACAACTGTTCAGTAGAAAATGTTTCAGTGGAACAACCCCTTCAGGTTCCCTCCCACTATGGGAAATTTTCTGTTCTCTCAATAAATCCTACTTTCTCAAAAAAACAAAAAGAAAGAAAATGCTTCAGTGGAATATTCCACACCAGAAATGTGTGATGCTTTGTCTTATATTACCTCTTATTCATCTACATTTTGCTGGATCCATTTGTGAGCCTCTCAAGTGCATCATCTCCTGGTGTCTGGTCTCCCTGAATCGTCTTCCTCGTATAACCTGTCTAGTTTTCTCTGGAGATAAAACCTTATGCATAGGCAGTGAGAAGTCCCCAAAAAACTGTTGGTGTGGCAATTACGTGTGATACTGACTTCTGCTTTGGTTTTAGGAGATGCTTTTTATCTTTTATTTTTTTTATTTTTATTTTTTTTGAGTTGGAGTCTCACTCTGTCGCCCAGACTGGAGTGCAGTGGCCACTCCCGGCCACCGCAGCCTCGACCCACCTCGACCCGCTGGGCTCCGACGATCCTTCTGCCTCAGCCTTCCAAGTAGCCGGAATGACAGGCATGCGCTACCACACCCGGCTGATTTTTTGATTTATTGTACAGAAGAGGTCTCGCTGCCCAGGCGGGTCTTGAACCCGCGGGCTCAGGCAATCCACTCACCTCAGCCTCCCAAAGGCGCGGGATTACAGACTGAGCCACCGAGCCTGTCTAGGAGATGCTTTTTAAAGAGTTCTTGCTTAGAAAGGGAGATTTCAAGTAGAAAACCATGTTAAATAAATCTATTTCTCTCCCAGATGAAAAGTGACAAAATGAAGGCCCCTAGCCAGGAAAGGTATCATGATGTTAATTTCTTTTCCAATTAGTGAAAAATGTTCCATTGGCCTTCTCTGACATGTAACCATTACCGTTCTCTGTGCTCAGGAGGGACCTCGTGGTGGCAGCCCAGAATTTTTTCTGTGCCGGCTGTGGAACTCCAGTAGAGCCAAGTAAGTATGGATAATGGTTACTTTATACCCTCACAGCCTGCTTATTATGCAGTGACAGGGTGAAGAATAACAAAGTAGGGCGGTGCATTGTTTTTTGTGAGAGATACCCCTATGGAGCAGTTGTCATAAGTGCTTCAGGAAAGTTGCCTTTTCTCATGCAGAGGCTGCCATGAGGGACAAGACTCCTGATTCTTTCCCCCTTGGGCACTCAGCCCTAACCACACGGCCTTCCTGCTGACCCATGCAGGCACCAGGATCACTCCTGACACAGGGATTTTCCCTTTTGCTTTTCTCTCCCCAGAGCGCCCTCCTTGCAGACACCCCTGTGGCTGATTTTTTTTTGCTTCCTTCACATTTTCTCTCATAAGTCATGAGGTCTTCCCTGGCTGCCCTATTGAAAATGCCCACCTCATCACACTTCTGGCCACAGATAATCACATGGACACTTTATATCAACCACCCTTCTATTTTTCTTTCTTTATTTTCTTGTACGATATTTATCTTAAAAGAGCCTTCTTATTTTTTATACTTGTTCTTCCTGAAATACTCTTTTGTATTTTACTGGTATGTCTTCTCATTGTTTGTCTTCATCACTAGATCATAGGTCTGTTTTTATTTGTTAGTTTATTCCCAGCTTCTAAAAGAGCACCTGGCATGCAGTTGACTCTAAAAATAAATATTTGTTGAGTGAATGAATATCTTAGGAAGGAGCTAACCAAACTTCTATGAGAGATTGTGAGCAGGAAGCCTGAAAGGATCATTCCTGGGCCAACTAAAGTTTAAAAAATTAGGCTTCAAAATCCAGTCAAAAATGCAAATTTCCCACTTAAGAGTGTAAATCACTTGTTCTGCTATAAGGGTGTCCATAGTTCTGATCAACAGAGGGCTGGGAAGAAGAACTTTGGTGGAAAGAGTTCCTTTGGCCTATTAATTTGATAGTCAGTTTTGAAGAAAAAAAAAAAAGACTTCGAGGAGCTTTGCTTCAAGAGTTAAAGATAGAAAGCAGAACTTCTGTCTGGGCTTCCTCTAGCACATTGGATGGTAATACCTGACAGACTTCACGGTTGACACAGATTTTCTTTAAATGATACATTTTCTCAGTCTAGCAGGGTACATGTCTGTTTGGTAACCACTGTATCCTAGTACCTCAGTAAATATTGAACTCATGAGTCAGAAACTATAGACACCTGACTAGGAGTCTACCAACTTTTTAAGTATTTCCCTAAATTTGTGCAAGTGTGGAGGTGGGTCTGCCCTGTTGTTACAGTAGTGACAGTACAAACCTGGTCCTGCCCTCAGGGAGATTGTTCAATTACCATCTTATAGGGAAGATGTAGTCATCAGCCAAGTGAGTAAATAACAAGGTGGCAAAAGATAGTCAGTCAGTGCTCTGGGATTTACAACAAGGGGACTTAATCTGATTTCAAGGGGCTGGAAGTAAGAAATTTCATAAGGAAGTAATTGCCTCCAGAAGGGGAGTGCGTGTTCATTATGTACAAAGGGCCTGGGGCAAGTGAAAGAAGCCTTGTGTGACTGCCGAGTAAGCATGGGAGGACAAAAATATGCTAGGCAGAGCATAGATGATTGTAGATGGCCTGGAGGTAAATTTGAACTTATCCTGTGTACTTCCTCTGGCTCTTAGGACATATTTTTTAAAACACTTCTATTTTGAGATAATTTTAGACTTACAGAAGAGTTGCAAAAGTAGTACAGAGTTCCTATGTACCCTTCTCCCAGTTTCCCCTAATGTTAGCCTCTTATATAATCACAATATAATTATTAAATCTGAGCTAGCATTGGTATAATCCTATCAACTAAACCCCAGGCTTTATTCAGGTTTCACCAGGTCTTTCACTAATGACCTTTACCTGTTCCAGGGTCCAGTCCAGAATTCTACATTAAATTTAGTGGTCATGTTTCCTTGGTCTCTTTCAGTCTCACACACATTGAACATGATATTTTACCCTTCACTACTTCAGTATACCTAAAAATAAGGATAATAGACAAGTTATCACACCAAAAAAATTACCAACAATTCCTTAATATTGTCTGCTACGAGTCCATTTTCATTTGTTCTCAGGTGTCATTTATGGCTAATTTTTCCACCCAGGTTGCAATCAGGTTTCATATACTGCATTTGGTTATTGTTTCTCTTGGTTAGGCTTATTTTAGTACCGCATTGTCCAATATACTAGCTACTAGCCCATGTGGCTATTTAAGATTACATTAAAATTAATGAAAATAAAATGTTCAGTTCCTCAGTCACACTAGCTACATTTCAAGCACTCAATAGCCACATGTAACTTGTGGTTACAGTATCAGCACAGATACAGAACATTTTCATCATCACAGTAGGGTATATGGGCTGTCCTGTTCTAGAATACTTCTCTTTTTTTCTCCATGACATTGACTTTTTATAAAACAAAAACAGTTGTATTTCAGAGCAGGATTTCTCAACTTTAGTACCATTGGCTTTGCTGTGGGGGTGTACTGTGCTTTGTAGATGTTTAGCAGCATTACTCGATGTCAATAGCAGCCTCCCAGTGGTGACAACCGAAAATGTCTCTGGAGATTTCCAAATGTCCCTTGGGGAGCAAAATCATCCCTGATTGAGAACCACTGATTTAGGTTGCTTTGTTTTGTTCTGTTTTAACTAAAGGACTTAAGAAATCAAAAGAAATGGATATAGTTTATTCCGTATTGATAGTATAATACACAGTATATATCCAATAAAGTTTCATGAATGAGTGAATGAATATTGAGATATTAGACTTTTAGATGTTAGCAAAAGATGGATTATATTAGGAAAATGTATTGGCCCCTTCTGTCCTCTTTTCTCTTCCCATCTTACTAAGTTTGAGCAGGAGTTATAGAGTGTTGGAGGGGCTAGGGTATGCCTTTTCGTGGTTTATTTAGTGCCATGTTCTTTGCATTTTTCTGCTTTTTGTTGGTGATTTCACAATTTAAAATGGTTCCTGGGCCAGGCGTGATGGCTCACGACTGTAATTCCAGCATTTTGGGAAGCTGAGGTGGGAGGATTGCTAGAGTCCAGAAGTTTAAGACCAGCCTTGGTAACGCAGCAAGACTTCATCTCTTCAAAATAGAAAAGAAAATGAACTGAGTTTGGTGACGTATACCTCCAGTCCCAGCTACTCAGGAGGCTGAGGTGAAAGGATTGCTCAGCCCAGAAGGTCAAGGGCTGTGATGAGCTGTGATCGTGCCATTGCCCTCTAGCCTAGATGACGAAGTGAGACCCTAACTCCAAAAATAAATAAATAAATAAAATAAATAGTCCCAAGCATAGCACAAAAATGCTGTCTAGTATTCTTAGGTGCAAGAAAGCTATGTTCTACCTTGCAGAGAAAATGTGTGCATTAGATAAACTTCATTCAGACATGTTATAGTGCTATTGACCTTGAATTCAATGTTACAGATCAACAAAACATAGTAATTGAGAAGTCAATAAACAGACGTACACATAAAACAACCTGTATTGATCAGGTTATAACAGGGTCATGTATTACTGAAAATGTAACCAGAAACTCACAGGTACCTGACCCTGTTTTTCTGCCAGCAGCAATGGTTCAATATTGACTAACTCAGAGTTTGTAGCAATGTTATAGACCATAACTACAATGATCAAGAACCAACCAAATTTATGTATGTACTTTTAAACATCTACCCTGAGTATGACTGGGTCTGAAGGATAATTCCGGCAAGCAAAAAGGCACTGGTTCCTCTTGCTTTCCTGTGATCAAATACAACAGAGGAGAAGCGGGATGTGATGACTCAGGCTGGAACTTCAGCAGCCCAGGCTTGGGTTGGAATCCCGTGTGCCTGCCTACTGTTTGTACCTCTTTGCCTGTTGTCAAACTTCACTGTCTGGTGTTTTCATCAGCGAGCTAGAGGAAATCACAGTCCCTGTCTCATAGAGTTTAGAGCACAGAATGATGTCATACGTGTAAAATACTGAACTCGTCTGTGGCAGAGAATAAGTGTTTAGTAAAGGTTTGTTTCTGTAGGTCACTCAGGCCTTTATCTTTAAAGCCATTATTTAGAAACTATACTCAGAACTTACCATGTGCTGAGTACCATAGTAGCTGCTTTCCCATCTGTTATTTCATTAATTCTCATAGCATATGTCAACTAAGATTTGCATTATGCCTTATGGTGTTTCAATTACAGAGCAACACACAAATCAAACCATGAACGATAAATATCAAACTTGGTTCAGGCTAGTTTGTCAATATATGTTATTAGAGACATTTCCGAAAGCAATGCCTGTTTGCTTTAGGATATTGAAAAGTACAAAGAGCAAAAATTCCTTCTTTCCCCCACCCTCCAGAAATATTTATTGTTGGCTTTTTGGTGGGGAGCTAGACTGTATATACGTGTGTGTGTGTGTGTGTGTGTGTGTGTGTGTGTGTGTGTGTGTGTGTGTGTATTTTTAAACAAAATAGAAGTCACGTTATATCTACCTATAACTGAATGTCCGTGCCGCTGCACATATTTTATAGGCTATATGACATTTCTCATTGAGTGCATCATACTTGTTTAACAAGTCGCCTTTTGATAGACATTTTGGTTACCCTCCATAAATGTGCTATAATGAATACTCTTCTTTATCTTTATGTGTACCTGTTAGGATGTCTTTCTGATGGGATCACAGAATTAGAACTACCATTTCTCATGTAAGAATTGAAGTGTATCATATAAATGTCCTCCTAAAACATAGTTCTATCAGCACTAAAAAAGAGTGCCTACCTCTAAATACCTCACCAGTTCTGAGTGTTCTAAATTTGTGACATGCTGAGGCGAAACAGGGTAAGTCACTAAGTATGCACTTCTTGAACTCCTGGACTCAAGCAATGCTCCTGCCCCAACCTCCCAAAGTGCTGGGATTACAGACATGAGTCACCATACCCGGCCACTTTTTGAATATGCATTTATTTGACTATTCCTGCGATTGAGTATTTTTCATTTCTTCTAACCATGTATTACCTGTTCCCAACTCTTGCACATTTTTTTTCTCACACATTTATCAAGAAATTCTTTTGGATGCTACTTCCTAACATTGTCTCTATATTGCTTTATAACTTACAAAATACTTTTTTATGTCACTTAATCCTGTTCTAAGTGGCATCTTGTGGTCTCAGGACAATTAGCCTAGAGAGATTCTGACTTGACCTCAGTCTTCCTCTAGTAAGAAGAGTCTGGACTCCCAGCCAGACTTCAAATGTTCATTTTACTACACTGCAGTTTGCAATGCCCATCTTCCAAATGCAGGAGTATTTTGGGAGGGTTCTAATTTTCTAGCACCTGTTTCACCAAAGCAAAGCTCGTGAATGGCCATGATTTAAGTCCCCAGGTACCTGCCAGAGCTTTTGCAACTGTCATAGGGTCAAGTATGGCTTTACCATCATGAGATGAGTCATTTGAGTCTGCATCTTACCTGGAAATTGAAGGTGGGGAGTGACCAGGGTGGATTTTCATTACCCTCTGATGTGCTCGGCAGAGTTTGTGAAGCGACTCCGGTACTGCGAATACCTGGGGAAGTATTTCTGTGACTGCTGCCACTTGTACGCCGAGTCCTGCATCCCTGCCCGGATCCTGATGATGTGGGACTTCAGAAAGTACTATGTCAGCAATTTCTCCAAACAACTGCTTGACAACATATGGCACCAGCCCATTTTCAATTTGCTGAGCATCAGCCAGAACCTCTATGCAAAAGCCAAGGAGCTGGACAGAGTGAAGGTGAGCAGCCACCTTGCAGAAGAAGTGTCCTGTGGCAGGAAATGCCATCACACTAGCTTTAGGGTATCCTAAGATAGACCCTCCTAGGGGCAACCTTTGGGCCCTCTTGCCTGCATTGGCTGTTTCAAAGCCCCCGTATAGAATTTTATATTCCTACATAGCTTTGTGTTTTCCTTGAAGAAGTTGTATAAGCTTCAGGCTCCACAAACCCTGGATCCCTCCAGGACCCTCTGTGAATCAGCTGACTCAGCCGTTTGCTTTATTTTATTTTTTTAAAGACAGGGTTTCACTCTGTCACCTAGGCTGGAGTGCAATGGTGTAATCACACCTCACCGCAGCTTCAAACCCCTGGGCTTAAGTGATCCTCCTGCCTCAGCCTCCCAAGTAGCTGAGACTATAAGCACATGCCTCCATGCCCAGCTAATTTTTCTATTTTTTGTATATAGAGGGTCTTGCTTTGTTGCTCAGGCTGGTCTTGAATTCCTGGACTCAAGCAATCCTCCTGTCTCAGTCTCCCAAATTGTTGAAGTTACAGGTATGAGCCACTACACCTGGCCCTAGGCTATTTGCTTTAAAGGTTTGTTTTGTACAGTTGTAGCATCTAAGGTTGAATGGAACATTTGAATTTTATGTACACATTGCTGATGTCATTGAGCAAATTTAACTTCCCCCCCATTTGGTTTCTCCCAGAAAATTCAGGAGCAGCTCTTTCATGTCAAGAAGCTGTTGAAGACATGCAGGTTTGCTGACAGGTACTATTCTCAAGCCGGGCAGACCGTCTTCCCTCCACACATCTGCTAATCCTCTGAGTGTCCCCTGCTCTCGGCTCCACATGACATAGGCTTCTTAGCACTATGATGACCTCATGGCTGTCCTTGGGAATGCACACATCTCTTTAAATCACTAATCTCTCTAAATCACTAGTGGAGGATTTAACTCTTTAGGAAGAATGAGGCAGTACAAGGATGAAGCAACTCTAAGTGGCTTTATTATTATTATTAAATTGTGGTAAGTGCACATAACATAAAATTTACTATCTTAGTCACTTACAGTGTACGGTTTGATAGCATTAAGTACATTTATATTGTTGTGCAGCCATCACCACCATCCAGCTTGTAAGCTCTTTTCATCTTGCAAAACTGAAATTCTGTGATGTTAAACAACTTCCAAAACAGGTGCAGTGGCTCATGCCTGTCATCTCAACACTTTGGGAGGCTGAGGCAGGATGATTGCTTGAGCCCAGGAGTTTGAGACCAGCTTGAGCCATATAGTGAGGTCTTGTCTCTTCAAAACAATTAAAAATTTAGCTGAACATGGTGGCACATGCCCCCTCAGCTACTCGGGAGGCTAACGCAAAAGGATTATCTGAGCCCAGAAGGTCAAGGCTATGGTGAGCCATGATCATGATACTGCCTTCCAGACTGGGTGACAAAGTAAGACCCTGACTCAACAGCAAGAATCACTCCCCCCCAAATTGTTTTATTTTAAAACGTTTTTCAGTCTCTAATCTTTAATGACAGTGTATTTAATTAAATGTCTTGGGAAGGGGACTGCATTCTGTAGTCATTTGACCTTGAACCTCCACCTCGTGGCTTTAGTGTGGCATTGGTCTTAGGGCCTCAGTTCTCTCATGAACAACTTGCATCAATACCCACACCTCCTCCCTTCTACAAAACTTTCTTGACTATCCGTTATGTGTTCAGATTAAAAAAAAAATCAGTGCATTAGACACATTGCGAGATGCTGTGAGGATGCAGAAAAGGCACCATTTAGCTCAGATTAGGGCAGGAAGACTTAGGTGTAGAGAGCTGGCAGGGCTTCTAGAAAAATAAGACTGAGCTTAAAGGGTAAGTTGGAGCCAAGAAAGAGGGAGTTGGGATTCTCAGACAGAGCTTGCAGCAAGAGTGAGCACCTCAGGCTGGTAGAGAATGAAAAGAGAATTTGACATTAGTGTGTCAAGTCCAGAGTAGGCTTAGGAATGCAGCAAATGAATGGTGCTGCCCCTGGTGACTGATTAAGGGAGTTTAGGAGGAGACCAGGTAGGTTGGGAGATTAAGTTAAGTTTTGAGTGCCCTTGGGACATCTAAGTGACCATGATGCATGGTTTTTTTGTTTGTTTGCTTGTTTTTTTTTTTGAGTAGGAGTCTCAATTTGTCACCTAGACTGGAGTGCAGTGGCATGCCCATGGCCACTGCAGCCTTGGCCCGCTGGGCTTAGGCAGTCTTTCTGCCTCAACCTTCCAAGTATCTGGAACTACACATGCACGCCATCACGCCCAGCTAATTTTTTAATTTTTTGTAGAGAAAAGGTCGTACTAAGTTGCCCAGGCTGGTGTCGAATCCCAAGACTCAGGCAATCCTCTCACCTCAGCCTCCCCAAGTGCTAGAATTACCGTGCTCGGCTTGCATGGGGTCTTAATGCTGGACTCACAGACTCGGGAGCCTGTAAGCAGTAATTCTACCAGCTGAGGCAACAGTCAGTGATCCTGATAGACTTGAAATTTAGCTGAAATGAGACTAGACGCAGTGGCTCATGCTTATAATCCCAGCACTTTGGGAGGCCAAGGCAGGAGGACTGTTTGAACCTTGAAGTTCAAGACCAGCCTGGGCAATGGTGAAACCTTGTCTCTAGAAAAAATTAAAAAAATTAGCCAAGCATGGTGGCACATGCCTGTAGTCCCAGCTATTTGGGAGGCTGGCTGAGGCAGGAGGATCACCTGAGCCCAGGAGGTCAAGTCTGCCGTGAGCCATGGTTGTTGTGATCATGCTACTGCATTCCAGCTTGGGCAACAGAGTGAGACCCCCAACTTGAAGGAAGGAGGGAAGGAAGGAAGATAGGAAGGAAATTAATTTAGCTGGAATGAATAAGGTAGTAATTTTTGTTATTTGATAATCAGTACACATTGTTAAGACTTTTTCTTTTTCCTTTTTCCATTTTCCTTTGCTCAGTGTGTACCTGGGCAGGCAGCAAGAGATGCATTTCTCTGCTCATTCAGCTTTTTGAAATCAGCTTTCATGAAATTTTAACTTCCTGGCTTCCAAGCAAAACTGCAAAATGTAGAATGGTGGTGAGCAAGGTTCACTGTTGTTATTGGGGCTATTGTTTTTTAAATCGAGTTCAATAAATGAAGTGTGAGCTCCGGGGGAGAAAACAGCTAGTCCATTCTTCAGGTCTCTGTGTGGGTGGGTTTCTGAATTCCTCTCTGTTTCCCTTCTGGCAGCGCATTAAAGGAGTTTGAGCAGGAGCCGAGACACTTGACTGATGAGCTCCACCTGTTCTCCCTGGAGGACCTGGTCAGGATCAAGAAAGGGCTGCTGGTGCCCTCGCTCAAGGACATTCTGAAGGCTTCTCTGACACACGTGGCCAGCTGTGAGGTGAGGGTTCTGGAGCAGGCATGTCCCTGAGCTGTCCCTTAGGCACCAGGGCCCAGGCTGGGTATCTTGCAGTTAATCTCAGTAAACTTTCACAACCCTGAGGGAAGTGCCGTGACACCATGTATAGATGAGAAAACTGAGGTCAGAGCTGGGAAGTATCAGGCTGAGACCATCCTGCTGGTAAGTGGCAGTGCTGAGATGCAACCCCGGGCTAAGTGACTTCTTAAGCTGGGGGCCCACCACTGCTTGGGACCCACTCTGCTCTGAAATGTCAAATATAGCCTGGAACCTGGATCCAATGGAACAGGAATTTTCTGTCTACGGGGAATGAAGAATTCTAGTGCAGCAATCCGAACTGAGATCATTTAAGAATGCATGTTTAAATGAGGATCTTCCTTTTTTTTTTTTTTTTTTGAGTCAAGATTTCATTCTGTCGTCCAGGCTGGAGTGCAGTGGCATGATCCCAGCCTTCAATTTCTGGGTTCAAGCAATCCTCCTGCTTCAGCCTCCTGAGCAGCTGGGACTACAGATGCACACCACCATTCCTGGCTAATTTTTGACTTTTTGTAGAGGCTAGGTATCACCATGTTTTCTAGGCTGGTCTTGAACTACTGGACTCAAGCAATCTTCCTGCCTATGCCTCCTAAAGTGCTAAAATTACAGGCATGAGCCACCTTGCCCAGCCTTAAAATTATTTTCCTCTGGTCCTTTAAGCTGCCTTCATGTGGAATGCATGGATGTGCACCTTTTTGTTTACATCTGTTCATTGCTACCAAAAGCAGCATTCTTTGCCTTCTAGAAGTTGGAATCACAGACTTGCAAAAATTGATGTTTATAAAATTCTGTAAAAGTTCAAACTCAGCTTTTTCATCAAGAGAAGCATTACCAGTGAGGACTGTAACATTTTCATGCCTTCTTTTACAGCTGTGTCAAGGAAAGGGCTTTATTTGTGAATTTTGCCGGAATACAACTGCCATTTTCCCATTTCAGACCACAACATGTAGAAGATGTTCAGGTAACTTCATAACTTAATAGCATAAGCTTAGTAGTAGCTTAGCAACTTAAGACAAAGTTAGTTTGAGTTTAATAACTTAAGCACAAAATTAACTTAAGCTGGATAACAGCTTAATAACTTAAGTACTATTATTTCTTTAAAGTACAGAAGATGTTCTTGTGTGCATATATGCTGAATTAGGGATAATAAAGTTTTGGGCACAAGAGGAGGTGTATTTGGGCAGGGCAGGAATTAGGATGAGGTCTCCTGGTACAGGGTTTGGATAGACGAGATGGTCCATTTGATGCCTGTGCCTGCCCCGTCTTGTAACTGGATCACAGTCAGGCCCAGTGTTAAAGTGTCATCTCTGGCTGCTTTTAAACCAGAGTGACAGAGCTGAGTAGCTACTGTAGAGACCATATGAACCCCGAGGTCTAAAGTATTTATTACATGGCTCTTTACAGAAAAGGTTGCCTACCCTTTTTCTGTGGTATTAGTGCCTGTGAGAATCTCTTGCTCTCTAAACTCTGTTTCATGGGAGAAATTCAGGTAATGAACTCTACCTTCAGATAGACAATTTGAAATAGACACCCTTGATATGGGCATGTCCTCCTCTTAGGCCCCTCCAGTGTGTCTCTCCTAACCCTTTGGGCAGTGTTGCAGGACAGATTCTCCAGCAAAGAGAATCTAAGGCAGGGATTTGCGTGCAAAAGGATGCATCTTCTCCAGCTCAATGTCTGTGGGGACGTGAAAGCAGCAGGATTGGGCAGAGGGAGAGGTTGAACTATGGTGCAAAAAAGCCCTCAGCCCATCTTACAATGCTGAGAGCTGGATGGCCTCTCAGCATTGTCCCATATTGGGGACAGAAGACCAGCCAGGCCAGCCCAGTTACTTCCTAGTGACCAGTCACTGGATGCAGGCTGGTGCCAGGAAGGGGGACCTTGGATGAGGTAGCTTTCTCTATTTAAGGCCCTTTCTAGAGAAGCACTGCTGCTTCTCAAGAGCCATCAGCCACCAACTGTCTTAGCTGCTGGGGGAACTCAAGGCTCAGGCTTGGGCTGATCTGGCATCAGGCTTTCTGATCATCCTCTATGAGTTTCAACCTGTCTGATTTCTTTTTAGAAGACTCTGGGTTATGGATTCAGATTCCCTCCTTAGGACAGGGTTGACCATTTGCGCATATGTGAGAAAACAAGGTAGGCTGTTTGCTGATAGCTGTCTTCCTTGCTTGCAGCGTGTAGGGCTTGCTTTCACAAACAGTGCTTCCAGTCCTCTGAGTGCCCCCGGTGTGCAAGGATCATGGCTAGGAGAAGACTTCTGGGAAATCTGCCCTCTGCAGCAACATGATGCTCCTGACTATTGTGAAATGGACTGTGAAATAGACTGAAATAGACAATTTGTGTCTATTATTAGCAGCATTGTTTTAGGTTCAGGTATTGTATATTAAGAAAAAAAGATAGCCATTATCTTTATTGTATATACTTAATGTCTTAAGAGAATGTAGATTCTTTGTTATTAAGCATAGGATTGTTACTAACGATTTTGTTTACAAATGTTTTGTTTTTGCTGCTGCTGGTTTTTTTTTAAAGAGTTTTTTTGTACTTTTGTATTTGAATTGTTGTGTTTAACCAATATCAAGTCAGTTTTTTGTGGGTGCGAATTGTAACTGACAAGGTGAATTCCTCAATTCCTCGTCCTCTAAAGCTTGTTTGTTGAAACTGATGGGTACTTTGAATGAACAACAATAAAACCCAGTCTGTTTGATCAGACTTTTATTTCTTCAAGGAACAGACTTATACTTAAATGTCACTTTATAATTTTGTCAGTCTCACACATTTTATTTATCCCAGGGTTTGAATAGAGAGTACACATTTCTTCTGCTGTTACATTTCAAGGTGAGTTTGTTGCTTAGCAAGGCTTGCGTGTAGTTCCAGTTGAGGTGCAGTTTGAAGCAGTTGCCGCTAGACGGCACTCTCACAGATACTACAAATTGACTTGTATTTGTCATCTTTATTCCACACACTGTGATGTCAAGGGAGGCAGAGGTGAGTAGAATTTCATCCCCACCCTTGAAGATCTTGTCTCATAGATATGAAGCTGAATATAAGGTATTTGTGGATTTAAATAAGCTGGGGGAATACTCTTAATGAACAATGTGATTCTAGTAATAACATTAAAATCACAGACATCTATTAATAAGGTTAAATGAATCACAAGACCTTTATGATTTTTCCCTAGGAGTTCTTCTATTTATATGCTTTCCTAAAATATATGAAACTATTGTTCTTCTTCTACTTCCTATGTACTTTTTCCCACTTGAGAAAGGTCCCCTGGGCTTCCTGGTACATCTTGAGGTTTGGTGTTGTATTCCCTGGAATTCACATGCCCTAACTAAACTTACTTTGAATTAATTTATCTATTGCACAGACAATTAAGTGCCCCTAACCCTGTCCTGTTGGATAATGTGTGTGTTTTATTCCATGGGATAATATTGAGCAAATGAAGTAAATGAATGCCTTTTATCAATCTGGTTATTTTCATTCTGTCAATTATTTTCTTATCCCCAATGTCTCTGTCAGAGCTATAGTAATATTCATTATTTATGCCAGATCTCTCTCTCTCTCTCTCTCTCTCTCTCTTTTTGAGTTGAAGTCTCATTCTGTGGCCCAGGCTGGAGTACAGTGTCACAATCATGGCTCACCACAGCCTCAACTTCCTTGGCTCAGGCAATCTTTGTGCCTCAGTCTCCTGAGTAGCTGGAACTACAAATGCGTGCCACCATGCCCAGTTCACTTCTTTTAAAAATTTTATTGAGAAGACAAAGTCTTATTATGTTGCCTAAGCTGGTCTCAAACTCTTGGGCTCAAGCAATTCTCTTACCTTGGCCTCCCAAAGTGCTGAGATTACAGGTATGAGCCAACACATCTGGCCCAGATCTCTTTTAAATAGAAATTTAGGCACATAAGATCAGATTCCACACAAAGTTTTATTCTTACCCATTGCTCATATTCTCTGTTAGGAACCGAGAATTGGAGTGGTACTTTCTGAGGTAAATGTCAGTCTCTACTTTACAGGTGAGGAAACTGAGGCCTAGGGAAAGGAAATAACTTTCCTTGGTTCCCACAGGAAGTGCATGGTGGAGCTGAGTGAGGCTGGTGTTGAGTATGCCTGCCTCCAAATCCCATGCCTAGCTGCTACTTCTTTTGTGGGTGTTTTTGCGATAATACGAGTAAACTTAACCTTGACTGGTAAGTGCTAATCAAACCTACAATAGTGGCATTGGGCAGAGTTTTTTCTCACATCATTCCCTGGTGTTGACTTAAGACAGTTGTTGTGGCTCAAGCATTGCTTGAAGGGCTCTGTGCTCAGAGTTGCTCTGTTTGCAACACACTGTTGAATATGTATAAGTTGTGTATGTCCCATTTCTTTGGTATTAAGGAAGGGTGCACAGGAGTTGCCAGGAAGTGGTGCTGCTGAGTTTTGATTTTGAGGAAGAATGAGATATTTTAAGTAATTGTGCTGTGGAATTTGTCTGAGACTTGGTTCCTTTCCACTGTAGTTATAGAGACTCCTTCCCAGTAAGGCGCCTGTTAGAACAGTACAGTGATCCACAGCCTACACATACTACTCTATAGGGAAGGAATTCGTTGTGGCACATATTGTTCTTTAATAGGATTTACTGATGGTGTTGGCTGCTGGAAGGAAGGTGAATACTTGGTCAGACTACCACCCACTGTGAGGCATCAAATTGCAGTGCCGTGACCCTCAGTGATTAATCTTCTCCCTCTACATTCTTCACACAGACAATCATAGTAACATGCCCCTTGCAGTCACCTGCGGGTGGAAGTTATACCATCTTGAGGCAGGGAATAATAGGTGAGGAGGGGTGAGTCATCCCAAAGATATTCTGATGTGTTGACCTAGGTGACAATTATTGGCCAGGATTTCAGATCGAATCCCAGATCTGCCACTACCTGCCTAGGTGATTCTGGGTACTATCATTTGGTTTGTTTGAGCCTCCAAAATGCCTGTTGAAATTTGGTCCCTAATGTTAAAGGTGGGGCCTACTAGGAGGTGTTTGTGTCATGGAGAAGGACCCCTCATAAATGGTTTAGTGCCATACCTGTGGTAAGGAGTGAGTTGTCAATTCATTTTCATTACAGCCAGTTGTTAAAAAAAGCCAGATCGCTCCCTCTTCTCTCTGTTGCCTCCTCTCTCACTATGCAATCTCTGCACATGCAGCCTCCTCTTCTCTACTATGAGTGGAAGCAGCCTAGAGCCCTCAACAGAAGCAGGTGTCAGTGCCATGCTTCTTGTCTAGCCTGCAGAACTATAAGCCAAGTCAACCTCTTTCTTGTATAAATCAACCCTCAGGTCATTTATAGCAACACAAAGGGACTAAGACACTGAGAAAACCACTCGAATGATCTGAGCCTCTGTTTGTAAGAGAAGGGATACTAACTATATGCAGCTAATGTGAGGATTAGATGTGGAAATAAAGCACCCACCAGAAGGCTTGGGACAAGCAAGAACCCAATGAGTGGTAATAGTGAGGTCTAGCCAGATTAAAAACTGAGTCACCTGTTTTTTGCATCTCTGGGTAAGTCACTGTGAATCTCAGTATGTAATCTGTAATGCAAGGATTAGAACAGTACCTACTTATGTGGGTTAACTTGTGTCCCCAAAAACTAAGTTGAAGTTCTTACTCCAAGTATCTGTGACTGTGACCTATTGAGAACTAGGGTCTTTACAGATATAATTAAGTTAAGATGAGGACATACTACACTAGGATGAGCCTCACTCCAATGACTGGCTTCCTTATAGGAAGACGGAAACTTAGAGTAGGACACAGGGAAGGGCAGAAGCAGAGATTGGGCAGATGCATTGACAAGCCAAGGAACCCCAAGAATTGCTGGCAGCTAAGAGAGGTATGGAGCAGATTCTTCTTCAGAGCCTGCGGAAGAAACCAACCCTGCTGGTACATTGATTTGAGAATTATGAGAGAATACATTTCTGTTGTTGTAAACCACCCAGCATGTGGTAATTTGGCTGAGATTGTGAGCTTCAAAGGGACACGGTAGACATATCAGGGAGGGATAAGGAATTCCATTTTCTGTTCCCAGGTCTGAGCCTGTGTGCTAGCTTAATGTCAGCCAGACACCACATGCAGGATGCCTCTCAGCTTCCAGTCTTCTTGAGGTCATTGTCAAAGGAACAAAGGACACAATTGCAGTGTGTCATTTGTCAACCTCCCTTATATGTGTGCATCTTTAAAACACTAAAGAATCTATGGCTTAAAATAATAATCCCTCCACTGATTTGAAAAGGGAAAATCATAGTTCCCTTCTCTCACTTCACTAAAAACTAAAATAGAGCTTTTGTAAGCAGGTTCTGTGGTAGGCAGACTGCAAACACATTTGGGAAACCTCAGTGTAAAAGTGAGAAAACGAGACCATTTGCATCCCACATGAATGGGCAGATCTTCTAGGCAAGAGGACTAGCAATGGAAGAGATTGGCCATATCAGTGGAGCAAATTATATCTTTTTCTCTGCACTTTTTCAGGCCTCTACCTGTACCTGCAGCCTTTTCTATTCCCAGGGCTGCCTCCTCTTACTTCATACCTCCATGGGCTGGTCCTTGCCTGGAATCAGGGCTGCATTTTGATCCTGGAAAGAGGCCCCCCTGACCACGTCACTTCCCACAAGTGAGGAGACAAGGTCAAGGGGCCATGCCTACCTAAAGCCCCCACCTCTTCTGTTAGATGGTGTTCTGTGTATCCTGAGCCCCAGATAGCATCCCCTGCTCTAGTGTTTCAAAATCACTTACGGAGCTGCTTAAGACCTTTCTCTTGGTCCACTCTCCTGAAGATAAATGGTGCTGCCCCTACTAGAACCAAGGAGCAACCAAAGGGTAGCCATTTGTAAGATGGAGTCAAAGTGGGAAGAGAAAGGGGGTAGATGTCATCCTAAGGTTAGCTATGCCTGGGCCATCATGTTCCAGAGCAGAGCACTGAGGAGTCTGAGATTTTTTTTTTTTTTAGAGATAGAGTCTCACTTTGTCACCCAAGTTGGAGTGCAGTGGCACCATCATAGCTCACTGCAGCCTTGAGCTCCTGACCTCAAGCTATCCTCCCACCCAAGTAGTTAGAACTATAGGTCCATTCCAGCACACCTGGATAGTTTGTTGTTTTTTTTTACTTTTTGTAGAGACAAGGTCTCACTATGTTGCCCAGGCTGAATCTGAGATTTTGAAATTCAAACCTGCTCTCTCAGGCCTTGATGAATGCATCAAGTGAACACTTCATCAGAGTGAGAGGATAAAACATCTAAATTATAAAAATTTTAAAAATTAAAAAAAGTGGGAGGGGGCTATATTTGTACTCTTGCATAGGCTCTACAGATGTTACCGGTTGGCCTTTCTTCTTCCTGCCTTCCTCCTGATCTCACTCATTCTTCAAAATATTGCATATGTGCATATACACTTCAACTCTGATCTTCTTCCTGCCTTCCTCCTGATCTCACTCATTCTTCAAAATATTGCATATGTGCATATACACTTCAACTCTGATACTTGCTTTTACCCCTTTATTTCACTGGGAACAGCTCTCAGAACTTTTAGCAGCCTTCTATTCTTTCTATCCACCCTCAAAACTCTCTTACAGTGTATGAGACAGACTTTCTTCTCCCCTCACTGCCTCAGCCCCTGGAGTAAACATTCGTGAGGTCACTGTCCAGCTCCCTGAGGGATTGTTTGAAAGAGAACTACTCAGGACTGTGGTACCTATGCC